TTTGCTGATTATATGTTTACACTTTTATAAGTTTACTTATGTCTTATGTTATTTACTTATTTTTGCTGTTAAGTAGTTAGTAATTACTAGTTAGTGACTTTTAGTACTTAAGTAGTTCATTAGTTAGGTACTTAGGTGTTCCATCATCCATGAATAAAATATTTGATTTTAAGTTTTTTACATTCTGATAAAACCGAATTACAACACGGATATTCGACCGATCCGATCCAATCCGAAAATAAAAATAACCGATCGGATTAGTCAACAAAAAAAACGGTTAGGGTGGTCAAAATTGAAATCCGATATCCGACCAGGGGTCTCAGTCCGCAATCCGATCCTTCCGACTGCACAGCCCTATCTGGAAGCACTCCCGGAGGTCCCGAGTGTGATCGGATCGATCCCGACTCTTGACCAGCATGTCATCAATGTAGGCTTCCATCGTTCGACCTAGCAGATCGGCGAAGAGCATATTGACCATCCTCTGATAGGTCGCTCCCGCGTTGCGGAGGCCGAACGGCATCACTCGGTAGCAATACAGCCCGTCTGGGGTCCCGAAGGCTGTCTTGCTCTCATCTTCATGGTGCATCATTATTTGATGATAGCCTTTAAATGCATCCATGAAGCTCATCAACTCGGCCCCGGCCGTCTCGTCGATCATCTGGTGGATACTCGGTAGAGGATACGGGTCGAGCGGACAGGCCTTGTTGAGGTCGGTGAAGTCAATACACATCCTCCAAGCTGGGGGCTTAGGAACAAGGACAATGTTGGCTACACACTCGGGATAAATTACCGGACGGATGTGCTCGATCGCCGCCATCTTCTTGACCTCTTCTTTGACAAATTCACTGCGATCGGATGAAAGATGCCGAGTCTTTTGCACGACCGGCTTATCTGCGGGATCGACTGCTAGCTTGTGACAGATGACCGTTCGATCGATCCCAGGCATATCTTCGGGCCCCCATGCAAAGATGTCCGCGAACTCTCGGAGTATAGCCAGGACTTGCGCTCGGAGCTCGGGGGTAAGGGCCCGGTCAATCTTGATCTTCCTGTCCGGTCGGTCCTCGGACAAGGGAACTTCCTCTATTTCTTCGGAAGGCTCGGGTTGTTCCTTCCGATCTTTGGACTCTTCCTTGGCAATAGTGTTCACCCGAGAAGACTGACCGGAGTCACGTCTGTTGACCGCTCGGGTGTAACACTTCCGGGCGGATTGGACGTCGCCACGGACCACACCGACCCCATTGGGGGTGGGGAATTTCATGCACAGGTGAGGCATTGAAATTATCCCACCAATCTTCATGATTGCAAGTCGGCCCAAGATAATGTTGTGGACACAATGAAGGTTGACCACAACGAATTCCAGCTCCGTCTTGATCGACTTCGGAGAGGTGCCGATCTCTACTGGGAGCGTTATTTTTCCCTCGGGGTAGATGAGCGCCCCGATAAATTCCGACAGTGGTACACCGACCGGAGTCAGCTCCTTCCTGTCGAGTCCAAGCTTCTCAAACACGTCCAAGTAAAGGACGTTGACACTGCTCCCAGTGTCCACCATAACCCTCTGGACATCCGTCCCTCTGACATCAATCGTGACCACGAGCGCCTCCATGCCATGGTCACCGCTGCTGGGTTGATCTTCGAGGGTGAAGGTTATGGGTTCCATCTTTTGCCTCTTCCCGGTGTCCCGGGAATCCACTATGGCGACCGGGCAATTCTCCCTCGGTCAGGAAGCGTCATCCAATCCACCAAAAATGACGTGGATGGTCGGCTTTCCTGCCGGTCGGCTGCTAGACGGAGGGTCAGGGTCCCGTCGGTCATCTCGTCGATCGTCTCTTCGATCGTCTCTTCGGTCCTAACCTGACCGATCGGAGCGTCCATCACGATCAGAGCGATCGGAACGGTGATGGGAGCGCCGGTGATCTCTCCGATCGGTGTTCTTCTTTGTGTCTTCTCTCTTCCCCACACACTTGTCCAACTTCCCAAGATTTAGCAGGTCCTCCAACAGTTGGCGCAAGTGGGTACACTCTTCAGTGTCATGCCCGGCACATCGATAGTAAGCACAGTGCTTACTCTTGTCAGGGCCGTCTTGATCGGGATGGGGGAGTTTGATGAGATTGCAGGACTGAGCGTATTGCATTGCCTCCGCTGCGGATCGGTTCAAGGCTGTAAACTCACCAGGCCTGGTGTGGGATCGGGGATGGTCATCACCCGATCGGTGTTCCGCCCGGCCGGCCGGTTTACGGGACGAAGACCCGACCTCCTGCGAGCGTTTTACGGCGTTCGCCTCGCCGGCGTTGGCATAATCTGTGACCCTTCGAAGGGCCTCCTCATACGTGGCCGGGGGTGTAGAATGAAGTCTTGGTACAGATAGCCCGCCCGGAGGGAAATGTGGAGCATGTGGGTAGCGGTCGCATCATCCATTGGCTCGACTTCCCCAACCGCTGCCTTCCACTTGACAAGGAAATCGGTCAAGCTCTCCCCTTCAAGTTGCTTGGCCTTCTCCAAGTACATGTAGGACTTCCTCACCACCTTGGAGGTGATGAATTTCCTCACGAACTTGATCGCCAGGGCGTTAAAATCTGCAATTGAGCCCGGCTGCAAAGTTCGGAACCATTCCGCCGCCCGACCGGTGAGCGTGGAATAGAAAGCCCTACACATCACGGCGTCTGATACGCCCTTCAACATCATGTTGCCGTAGAAATCATTGACATGGACCTCAGGGTCCGTACGGTCATCATAACTTTTCTCCCCGGAGACCTTCAAATCAAGCGGGTAGGGCTGAGCCATTACCTCGGCAGTGAAAGGCGTCCTGAGCAAGGACGATTGGTCGACCGGGGGTGTTGCAGGGTGCTCATTTCTGAACCGAGCAAACTCCGCCTGGAGTTGTAGAGCAATCCTCGGGTTTCGTTGAGCTCGGCCATCTGGGCGGCTTGGGCTGATTCACGAGCGCGTCGCCGACGGTGAGATCTCGACCCGCTATGCCCGGATGAAGCCTCCTGGCTAGCCTCCTGCATCTGTACGTCTTCCGGCTGCCGGTTCGGGTCTTGGGGTCCCAAACGTTATCGCATCGCCGGTCGAAGGCGGTCGAAAGCTACCACCCGGGCAACTTCTCCGGGGTCCTCCGCTCGGGCTGGAACCTCCGGTGCTTGCTGGGCCTGCCGTGGTGCCTCCATCGCATCAGCACCCCCCGACCCCAATCGCGAACGAGCCGAGCGTCGAGTCCGGGAAGTGGGCTGATGCTGCGGCTCTACCTGTGCGGCCGGGTAAACTGGAGGGGCGGCGGCTGGAGCCGTGTACGCAGGCATGAAGGGTGGATAGCCAACCGGGGGCGTGTAATACATCGGTTGGCCGGGCCAATACCCGTACGGTTGAGGTGGGACCGAGTATGGATACTGGTCGGGATACGGCATCGGTTGCTGCTGGTACTGCTGACCGGGTGTTGGGTATCCCGGTTGGATGTAGTTCACCGACTGTTGGGCGGCCGGGTATGTGTTGGATGGATGGGGTGGCGAGAGATTGAGGTTGAGGTCCATAGTCTAACCTTGCTGCTGAGTCGCCTGGTGGTCGGATGAGCTCACTGCATCCGCCTGATCATCAGCGAAGTTGTTGTATGCCCACGGATACATGATTGATGAGAGACCGGGTGCTCGTCAAGACGATGACTTTCTTGCACGGGTCCCCACAGAGGCGCCAAAATGATAGTGTTAATTGCCACGTGGAGCGGTAATTAAATAAATATGAGACCAATTAAAGCAAGTAAACTCTTTTATTGATCACGGTGAAGGCCCTAAGTACAATCTACTTGGTTGCTCTGAGTACCGACTGACTGCCGTCGGGATTCTCTAACAACAACCTATCGATCGTCCAAAAGTCCCTCACACTGTTGCTATCGCGGGTATTTATAGTCGTGGAGCCGGAGACACAAATCCGGTCGTTCGGCATGCTTCCCACGTAGCAACCACGTGTTGCCTCCCCGGGTGCCTTGCCTGTCAATGCGTGGAGCCGCCACGTGTTCCTCGTCAGCTCTCTCGCTAAAGGGCTGCCGCTCGGTGGTCGACACTGCCGCTCGGGTAACTCCCGGTCGGATCCCGACCGGGTTCTTCACAAGAAACCCGACCTGTTACCTGCAAAGACAAGAAGAAAAGGACAAAGGCACACCGGTCGAGACAGCACTATGTCAGTCGGGATATTCCCTACCAATATACATGCTCCAGCTTGAGGGGGAGTGTTAAAACACAAAAGTTGTGTCTATAGAAATATAGCTGTTGAAGTTGTGTAGGGTTGTGTCTGTAGGATTGTGTCTCTTAGTCTGTATATATTTATCTGTTGTCTCCCCATTGATACAAGGAAGTAATAACAACTCTTTCTACATCTCTCTCAACAATTCTTATATGGATTCTATTCAGGTATTCTCAAGTTCTAGTGCTGCCAGTGGTGGTGGCTAAGGCTTAGCTTGGTGGAAATTATGCAGGTTCAGATAGAATTTTGTTTCTCTGAGGTCCACAAATTGTTGTTAGCTAGGGAGACCAGTTTGTTTGACAAGAGGCAATGACATGCGTTTTTGTTTTGAGTAAATTATTGTGTGACTATAGTGACTTCATCATTGATTCTTGATTTCTAATCTCGTTAATGTTCATGACTATCGGAAAAGAAATTTAAATTTTTACTTCTCATTTACAATAAGTCTTTAAAAATTGGTAATTTAATCTGGGGCAATTTTTATCTGAAAATGCTACAGAAATTGAAGTTATTTCCTTGCTGAATTATGGTTTGATGCATTGATTTTTGGTATACAGTATAGGATGCCCGATGCTTATGATGTTGAAAATGGTGTAAATCAAGAGAAGAGGTTTGCCGTCACATTGCAATGCTACAGGTCACTATAGGATGCAGCCTCATTCTCACAGCAAATTGGCTTACATACACAAATATATTTCAGTTCTTGCTAGGAAACTTTGTTAGTTCAGCGGATTTTCATGCTTGTGTTTTTCTTTTTCCTCCTTTAGGGATACTGATGCTAATGATAAGATGAATCCATTTTCTGAACAAGAAGCATGGGAGGATCACCGAATCTGTAAACTCTAATTTTACTGTTATAGCATTTTACTCTGTACATTGATTTCATACCCTTTGAAATTTCATTTACTGAAACAAGAGTCATTCTAGTACAGCCAAGGCTACACTCAAATTTGGTTCAAAAGACAGAAAGGCAAAATCCGAAGATTACCAGTAAGTTATAGAAAATGCACTTGTAACTTTGTAGGAGAAATAGGCTGTTTTTGTCAATATTCTCAGTTTTTTGTCTTACTATCTCAAAGTTACAAACTTAAGCATTGTTCATCCATCCTAATTTTCTTTCCTTAATACTGATTTTTTTGCAGATTTGTGTTTGAAGACCAGATAGATTTCATAAAAGCAAGCAGTTATGGAGGGTGTTAATGTATGCCCATTTACTTGTCAATTGTCAATTAAGAGTTATCCTGTTCCACTTTTCATCTTAACCTCTATTATCCTTCTCTATGCAGGTTGATCAAGAGTCTGCTGTTGATGAACTAGAAACATTTGTTGCTAAATCAGCACTTGAGAAACTACAGGTGTAAGGTGTTGTTGATACATAATCTATTGTTCTACAAGAGAAACTAGTCTGAAATTTTCAATCCCAGCTTCTCTTATTTTGCGACTCATCATGATCTGTTGTGACTTTCCTGGCTTTATTTTCTCAGGCAGACAGGAAAACTCTCCCCATCTACCCATATAGGGATAAGTTGCTCCAAGCTATTAATGATCATCAGGTTGGTTGATGCCCCTTCTGTTGATCATGCTTATAATACTGTTTAGTGGGATTTGTACTAATTATCTCGTGCTGTTATCTTCCTATTGGATATCAGCTGTATGTAGACTGATCTTGATTGGTTTTATAGGTCCTAGTCATTCTTGGAAAAACAGGTTCTGGGAAGACGACTCAGATACCTCAATACCTCGTTGAGTTGCTGCTCATGTTTCCCAAGAAACGGGAGTCAGACTCGGGCATGAGGTAATGCTTTGAGGTTACTCTAGTCTGGCTCTTGGTTTGCTCTTTGTTTAATTAACCTTTCTCATTGATTGAAAATTTGCTACATAGCTGAAGACAAAAAAAATCTGTAATCAAATCTACCTGACAGGTTTACTAATTGTTTTAATTCTTTTGCTGAGAGTGTTACCTTGTCTTTATGTCTACTTATGAGATGATGATCCTGGCTTCTTCCAAACTTACTTGACCGAAGAAACCGAGCACATCTTGAAGTCGAGCTACAAAGGAAGCTATCGTAATTCCAAAAGCAAAAGTTTGGAATATCAAACTTATGTGAATGACCATATGATCCCACTCTACAGATAAAGGCCAAGAACCCATTACCTATGCCCATGAATTCAAACAAGGGGATATGACAAGATTCTTTAATAAGGGGGACTTTTACGGTGTACGTTGAAATGGAAGTTACAAGAACAAATTGATGTCCAGACACGCCTTTCTTTTTCTATTAGTGAGTTCAGCCAGGAAGTGTACGGGACCGATAACCACACATACCCGGTTTGTTAAGAAAGCATTGAACAACTTTGAACCATTTTTTCTGAGAGGGTGATAGCTTCGTCAGGACTTCTCCACTCCACTCTTACTATATATAAGTACTCCTTTCTTCTTCGCATTCAGTGATACACTCTTCCATTTCCGGGACAAAGTTATTCAATGCTTTCTTAACGTACGGGGCATAGTTATCACGGCGCCCTGTTAAGTCGCGGCGCTCCCCGACCGGCGACAAGGCGCCCGCCTAGGCAACAAGTTAAAAAATTATATATATATGTATATACTCCGTATATAATATACAAGTGGGAGACAGTAAGCACTGGCTTTACTGCCTCTGCCAGTCTGCCCACTGCCATGTCCTATCTGTCCACTTCCATGTCCCATCTGCCCAGCCCCTCTGCTAATATAAACCAAAAAGTAACAATGGGCAAGTGACTGGTAAACTATAAGGCCTCAGCCGGAAAAAAAAAAAAAAAAAAAAAAAAAAAAAAACTCTCAGCACCTAAGAAAATGGAGAAGCAAAAAGACCGAAGAAGATTCACGAGTCACGGCAGTGGGAAGGCGACGGCAGGACCTGAAATGTTTTTTCTCTCTCTTCTCTATTCTACCATTTTTTTTAAATAAAATAAAATGGGTCGGGTATTTGGGTTTGGACGCCGGATCGGCGTCCAAAGGCGTCGCCTGGGACGCCTGGCCGACGCCGGAGCTCGCCTCACCATTTCAGGCGAGGCGAAGCCTCCAGGCGTCTTGTCTCCACTGACCGGACGCTAAGGCGACGCCTAGTCGACGCCGTGATAACTATGGTACGGGGTACAGGGTATGTGTGGCTATCGGTCTCATACTCCCTAATGACTGTACTGTGATAGAAAAAGAGAGGCGTGTCTGGGTATCATATTTGTTCTTAACCATTCTTATAACTTCTATTTTAACGTGCATCGTAAAAGTCCCCCTTATTAAAGAATCTTGCCGTATCTCATGTTAGAATTCATGAGTATAGAAAATGGGTGCTTGGTCTTTATTTGTAGAGTAGGATCATATGATTATTCACATAAGTTTGATATTCCAAACTTTTACTTTAAAATTACGATGGCCAAACTTTTGCTTTAAAATTACAATGACTTTCTTTGTGGCTCGACTTCATGCTTGGTTTCTTCGGTCAAGTAACTATGGCCGAAGGTATACCACATATGGGTTCTTTCCTCGGTCAGCAAATTAAAGCTGCAAAAGAATGGATCTTATAAACTGTTAAGCATCCCTAGACTCACTGTTCCAATTCAAAAAACATAATCAAGCATTAACAATGAATTTAAGTTCCAAACGTAATCAATAATTCACATGCCACAAATTCACAATCAACATTAAAGTTTAAAACAAAAGTTGCTACAAATTCACAATCAATATTAAAGTTCAAAACAAAAATTACGACAAATCCACAATCAATAGTAAAGTTCAAAACAAAAAAATGTCACAAATCTACCATCAACATTAAGGTCCATACTTTTTTTTTTGGGAGGAACCTATTTTTATATTTGTTCAAAATATGAGTTCTAATGCTAAAGGTGAATTTTGATACTACACTTGTAATAGAAATAGAAAGCACATCATATGCCATTTTAAGAAGCTCCCCATAACGTTGCTCTTTTTCTTTCCAATAGAGAGCACGTTTATATCATCCAACTAATTTATTTGCACTTTTTTTTCAAATATTTGTCTAAATTAGACTTTGAATCTCGATTTTCACTTTCAGCTTTGCTTCGATAACCAATATAACCCTACATAATTTAAGCATTTTACGCATGTTAACCACTAACAAATAAATAATAAACAAATATAATTAACAACATAATGTATGTGTGAATATGAACTTAAAAAAAAAAAAAATTAACTTACAGAAATAAGAGATTCATCCAACTTTTCGTTTCCTCTCCTACTTCTCAATCCTTCCCTCCATATTTCGCAAATATTTGTTACCAAAGATTCTTGTGATTGAGAAGTAAAAACTCTAAAACATGAAGAACCAACATTTTCTTATACACATTATACAACATGTATAACTTGTTCTTTATTCATTCAACCTTGACTTGACAAGTAAGTGGATTAAGCATCTTATAACAATATTTCACAAATTGCATTTTCAATTTTGGATAAAAAATAGCCCCCATTGCAAGTATTACAATATACTTATCCCAATACTTGTCAAACTTCAATTTCATATTCATAGTCATATTCTTTACTACTTCATCCTCACTTTCTAAATTTTTAAGCAACAAACATTCAATCTTCTAAATTTGCAAAAAAAGAAATATAAATTTGAAGTAAGATAAGATGAATCAGAAATCATGTTGATGATAACATAAAATGGATTAAAAAAAATGCACACATCCTTTCCTCTCTTGACCATTCTTCATTCAAAGGACAACATTTGTAATTTCTATCCTTTAATCCAAGAGAGCAAAAATCACGACGATACCGTATAACACTATCAAGCATCACATAAGTTGAATTCCAACGAGTTAGTACATTCATAGCAAGTTCACAAGTAATATTAACATCAACACATTGAGCACATTCTTGAAATGATATCATTCTTGCTTCAGACATTTTTACATATTTAATGCTCACTAATTTTTCTAATGCAACACTAGCAACTTTTAATCAATTTTGAACAATTAAATTCAAAATATGTACACAACACCTTACATGAAAAAAATCATCATCACAAAACAAATTATTTTGCAACAAAAGTTGTTGCTTTAGAAGTCTCACCATCACATCATTAGTAGAAGCATTATCCAAAATTATGAAAAACACTTTACTATCTATGCCCCAATCTACCAAGCAGTCATAAACTTTCCTAGACAATTCAAAGCCAGAATGTGGAGGATGCATATCACAAAATGAAAATATTTTATTATTCAACATCTATTTTTCATCCACATAATGCACAATCAAGCATATATAACCAACATTTGTACAAGCAGTCCACACATCGCATGTTAAACAAAGCATAACGAAAAAAAATTTCAATATCAACTTCAACATTTCTTTTTGTCTTTCATACAAGTGCAAAATATCTGATACGACAGTATTTCTTGTAATGAATCGAAAACCAGAATTCAAATACGAATAAAGTAACTGCACACTCCTATATTCAACCCATTTAAATGAAAGATTATGTTCAATTATACATTGAGCAATTAATTCACAACAACCTATTTCATCAACGATTCTATTCTTCAATTTTCCTTCTTGATCAATTAACATAACATCCACATATTCAAGTTTTGGTTCCTTTTTTGACGACTTAAAGTTGATGTTCTAGTTTTAGTAACATCATGTAAATATGATTTTTTTACATTAATTAAATGTAACCCCTCTCTATTAAAATTGGAACAGCAACTTTTATTCGTCATATGGTGATATGCAAAAAGAAATCAGAAGTTGGAGATGTGGGTGCTATGTTAATTGATCAAGAAGTGAAATTCAAAAATAGAATCGTTGATAAAAAGGTTTATCGTGAATTAATTGCCCAATTTACAATTGAACATAATCTTTCATTTAAATGAGTTGAATATAGGAGTGTGCAGCTACTTTGTCAGTATTTGAATCTTAATTTTTGATTCATTACTAAAAATATTGTGGTATCAGATGTTTTACAATTGTATGAAAGACAAAAAGAAATATTGATATTGAAAAATATTCTCGGTATGTTTTGTTTAACATGCGATTGTGGACTGCTTGTACAAATGCTGGTTATATATACTTGATTGTGCATTATGTGGATGAAAACTGGATGTTGAGTAATAAAATACTTTCATTTTGTTATATGTATTTTCCACATTCTGTCTTTGAATTGACTAGAAAAGTTTATGACTGTTTGGTAGATCAAGAGACAGATAGTAAAGTGTTTTCCATTACTTTAGATAATGCTTTTACTAATTTGATTGATGTGACTTTTAAAGCAATAACTTTTGTTACAAAATAGTTTGCTTTGTAATAGTGAATTTTTTCATGTAAGGTGTTGTGCACATATCTTGAATTTGATTGTTCAAGATGGATTAATAGTTGCTAGTGTTGCATTAGGAAAAATTAGAGAGGGCATTAAATATGTAAGAATGTCTGAAATAAGAACGATATCATTTTAAGAATATGTTCAATGTGTCGGTGTTGATATTACTTGTGAACTTGTTTTGGATATGCCAACTTGTTGGAATTCAACTTTGTGATGTTTGATAGTGCTATACGGTATAGTCTTGTTTTTTATTATCTTGGATTAAAGGATAGAAATTACAAGTGTTGTCATTCGGAAGAAGAGTAGTCAAGAGGGGAAATGATGTGTGCATTTTTTTATCCATTTATGTTATCACCAATTTGATTTCTGGTTCATCTTATCCTACTTCAAATTTGTATTTTTGCAAGTTTAGAAGATTGTATGTTTGTTGCTTGAAAATTTAGAAAGTGAGGATGAAGTAGTAAAAGATACGACTAAGAATATGAAATTGAAATTTGACAAGTATTGAGATGAGTACATTGTAATACTTGCAATGAAAGTTATTTTTTATTGAAAGTTAAAATTGCAATTTGTAGAATATTGTTATAAGATGTTTAATCCCCTTACTTATCAAGTCAAGGTTAAA